GCATAGTTGTTTGTTTGTTTCTCTGCTGTTGGTTATAACCATGGAGACCAACTTGAATTTAAAAGCGGTTTGATCTATATTCCGACATACTTTATTAACTAAATTTCTACTGTATAGGTTCAAGCTGTTTTGAAAGCAAAATTGAGGAAGGTGTGGTCCAATGTTCGATCGATTTTCAGCAGTGGACAAAATCAAGAAGGCACGGTGCTATATTCCATTTATACATATCATAATCAGACCTTGAAAGGGGGTATAGGTGTGAGTAGAGATTAGAACAATGCACTTCAGAAATTTATTTGAATTATTATTGGAATTATCATTATTACTTCAAAAAATTATTAAGGGGCAACCACGCAATTAAAAAACAATAAATGGTTGAGCTTCGGTCTTCAATTTCAAGGGAAAGAAACAATCTGACTGGTAGAAGGATTTTTTAAAATCAATATGTGGACGAGATAGTTTGGTGTGTTATACTCCTCCACCGACGCAGCGCCACAGTTTCTTCAGAAACTTACCCCCCCCCCCCCCCCCCCCTCCTCCTTAAAATATTTGGATAGGCCTAACAGTAGTTTATTCTCCGTTTGGAGAGGACCAAAAAAGATATGTTACTGCTATTTTATTACTTAGAAGGAGTAAATAATCAGCAGGGACAGATCGGAAATGGACATGAACACGCTAACAACGAAGAGGGTAAATATAGTGATTCCCAATGTGTATATTCTCTTTGCCTCGTTATGGTTTTGTGTGTAATACCTTTCTTTCGTTTCTTCTCTTCCCTTCTTAATCCCATTTTTTGTTTGTTTTTGTGTCTGCATTATCTTCCCCATAGGAGAACAGATTGAAATGCAAGTAATAGAACACAACGAAGTCCCAGAAGTGGAAGCCCCTGAATTGCCTGCTCCGCAACCGGGTCAGTATTCCATATGTATGCTTATTTCTTTAAAACATCATTTCAAAACTAGCCAATTAGAAAACTAGGGAATCAAACGGTAAATCTTTGAGGTTAATAGGTCGACTCAGAACTCGCATTCATTACTTATGTGTATAAATGTATAATGTTTTGATGTTAATGGTAATGTGTGATTGACTTTCTGATTTCAACTGTAATCAAGTAATCCACTGAAGTGGGTGAGCTCTTTCAAATTGAAATACCTATGATGAAACATACTATTCTTTTCTATTTTGATACGTTCTACGTGTGAATTTTGGTTAGGGAAAGATTAAGGAAATGTTTCCTCATATGACATAAATGTGATTGGTTTTGTCACCTTTGGTTAATAATTGCAAAAAAAATCCTTTGGTTTTTCACAAGTTACATACAACAATTCTGACGACAGTTTTTCGACGACCCAGTTTCTGAACTTCCCCTTTGAGATCCCCATCCCTTTAAATTAGAAACCTGCACAGGTGTCATGTGCAACAAAGGTAATATCGTTATCAATATGGCACAGATCTAATAAATGAATGATACGTATTGAAATGATCATTCAATGTTTTACCTTTTTGCTTTTATTATCTGATAAATAACTCTAACATAACGATTTGAACCATCAACAGCAATGGAACAAGCCTGTGGTGGGGATGAGACTCCATCTTCCTCAGGTATAATGTCTTCTAACTTGAATTAAAATTTCCTGCCTATTATTATAATTATTATTATTGTTATCATTATTATTATTATTATTATTATTATCATTATTTCAGTTGATGTTGTTGTTCTTCCTCTTGAAACTTCATTCATGAAAAAATATGAAATTAAGTCGTAGACAGCCGCTTCATTCACAATATCAGTACTGAAGCTATGACTTCAACCGCTTTTTACAACTGTTCCTAAAAATCGCCAACTACTTTGCAAGAAATAAAGTAGTAGGAATGAATAAAAGAACTTGAAAGTATTCGATCAAATCAACTGTCTTTTGCAAAAGTATGACTTCAACAGACTATCTCATGCGCACAAACTCGCAGATGTAAAACAATGCGAGCTGTATGACAAGTTTAACCAAGTTTTAACTCAACTGAGTAATCTATCGTGCTAGAAGTTGTTAAGTTTATGCGCATTCAATGCGGAAACTAAACTGTACAGTAAACTTTATCGAAAGTATTTTATGTTTGTTTATTTGTTTTTTTTTTAAGATTTCGTATCTGAATTACGTCATACGAATATTATTTTCTGTAAAATTCATTTGAAGAATAAACGAACCACAAAAGTTATGACATGTTTCACTCTACTTGTTGTTTGAAACAGATTATGAGGATGATTTTGATATCAGACCAGCCACTAAAAAGACTGTGGAAGGTAAAGAACTTTTTGTAGGAAACTATATTATTAGTGCTGGCTGTTACCACCAGTTTATACAAAAAGACTCCAAGTTTCTCCTATGAAGGAATTTATAAGAGAAGCCTTCCCTACCTACTGAAAGTAACGAGTCATTGCAAATTCAAAAAAAAAAAAAAAAAAGATTTTTAACTTTGGATTGATAGTCTCGCGGACACTAGGTGTGAAAGGAAATTGTGCAAAATTAGAAGTATTTATGTCTTTAACGCACTCAACATGAGGCGTTGTATATTTTGGTGGGAAGACTCTTGCGTAATACCTGGTTAATAACATCAATAGATAATTATTAGCAGCAAGCTAACCTCTAAGAAAAAAAAAATGAAATGGGACGGAGATTCGAACGCAAAAAGCGAATTTCTAATTTCCCACGCTAAAGTATAGTAGGTAGTTGTGTGAGTAAAAAAAAGTTGAGGTTCGCACATTTTGCTTGAAACTGTTTTAATCCTCTTTGGCGGAATAGAGGGAAGGGGGTAGTTCTATTCATGTTTGAATGTAGTTAGACTCAAATAAGATTTGTTATCAACGCTGGACCCTCTCCCAAACAATTTGCAACTTATTTAAAAGAAGGATATTCTTTATTGCAGTTGCTGTTCATCATGGTGAAAGCCAGCATCGACGAAAAAGTCAAAAAGAAGGTATATGTTGAACTCCTTTTGTAACTAGGATTGTCTACTCTTTGACGGAAGGCTCTAATGTTGATAAGTGTCTATTTTTATGAAACCATTATTTCACATTGAATTTATGAAAGATCCGACTACAGGAGAGACTAGAAGTGACTGAAGTTTAAGGTGCTTACAGGAACCTTTTTTATATGTGGAGGCTCGCCGTTGATGTAACTCGTGGCTCTTGATACAAGCATTGAAATATATATGGCAATTGTCGTACACATTGGTTTCGGTGGACACATAACCTTACTTTGGTTAATGTCAAGATATTTTCAATTTTAAGTTGTTGAAAAAACGTTTGACTGAAATAGAGTACCAGCTTAGTCTCAACATTTTTTTCGCTTTCTGAGTCGAAATTCGAGGAATATTTTAAAGTTGAGGGGCATCTGCATTGAGGTCTTTTGTGCGCATTCTTTTAGTACCTGAAGCAACAGGGATAACAGTTATCTGGCAAATTGGTGGCAATTGAACAAAGGCTTTAAGAAGTGGCAAAATTTTACCGTCGACTATTTCAACGCTCCCGAATTTTCCGCTTATGTCCTCTCTCTGGTGATCCTCCCACAATTTCGATCACTTTCGATTCGTTATTTTCAATTATTCAAATGAATGTCATTCGTTGACTACAAATTTTTTGTACTAAGTACAAGTTTCTGCAGGCCAAGGAGGAGAGACAAAGCCTGAGACTAAAGAGCTAGCTGAGGAAGGTAAATAGAATGATTTTTTTCTTGAACTGTACATTGTGCAACATAAGTTTCCTTTATTTCCGCATATAGTGGAAGTCACCTTTTCTTGAACTTATCTGCCATCTGGGCCAATTTCCTGGCTTACTCACAAAGTGACAGTGAGGGCAAGTCTATTGCTTTATATACGTCAGTCTTAAGGTCCTTATACTTCATCTTAATTAATAACTTTGCTATCACACAGCTGACAAATCTGTGGAGCAGGTGGAGAGTGAAGAGATTCCAAGGGCAAGTGACAAAGGTAAAGGAGAGGGTAGCTTTAATCGGTCACTCAAGAGGTTAAGAAGGTTATGGAAACATATCTTTCACCTTAGTAGTCGCTGAAAAACAGAAACAGAAAAAATATTTCATGAAATGCTTCAGTAAAAACAAGATTGAATGGCTGAGTACTAATGTACCTTTTATCAAACACATTGTCTTCTGGAGAAGACGGAAGAGGGCACCAGCTTTGCCTCGTTCATTTTCGGCTCTCTGCGTCAGTCGAGTTAAATTTCAAGGGCATTTACGTGTAGGCGTTGTATACGCACTTATTCAGTATCTGAAGCAACAGAGACAAAAGTGATTGATGAATTGGTGGCAAACGTTGACCTTCGTCAATTGCAATACTTCAAATGAACATCATTTAATAGGTACAATATGTTCTAATTCAATTTCTTCAGAAGGAGAAAAAAAGCTTGACACAGAAGAGCTAACTAAGGAAGGTAAATACAACGATTCATTTTTTTTTTAAGAACTATACATTATTTACCATAACTTTCACCTAGTTATTTTTGCATACTATGCAAGCTTTATTATTATTATTATCATAATTATTATTATTTATGTATTTTTTTATAAATTTAAAGCTAACTGGGCCAATTTACTGATTTAATAGAAGGGCCATGGGCCGAGTTTACCATCTAGACAACTTTATATATTTATGTACTTTACCTCATTCTAATAAATAACTTTGCTATCACACAGCTGGCAAATCTGAGGAGAAAGTGGAGAGTGAAGAAATTCCAATACCTAGTGATGAAGGTAAAGGAGAGGGAGGGTTTTTTATTTCTCACTCAAGAGGTTAAGGCACCAGATTAGTTATTGAGGCACATCTTTCATCTTGGTAGCCAATGAAAAATGAATGATTCGTAAACATGCTGAAGTAAAGGAAAAAGAAATAAATTGAAAGACTGAGTTCTAATTTACTTTTTGTTCAATTAATCATCTTTTATAAAAGCTCAAAAGGCAGAAGAAGAAGAAGAAGAAGAAGAAAAGAAGCGGCTTGAGCCTGACATGGAGGACACAGAGAAAGGTAGAATTCTTTATAAATCAGCCAACATAGACTCGAAGTGGTCATGAATTAACACATAATCTGTCCACGTTATTGTCTGAGGAAAGTTGAAACACGGCGGTCCACATCAGAAGTGATTGAATTAAGAGAAAAGAGGAATACTTGAGTACTATTGTACTTTGTCACAGTGAACGGCCAAGACCTGACTTGCAATACTGACACTAAATATGGCACCTTTGAATCTTCCAGAGCTCTCTCACTTTTTGTAACATTTCTTAGCTATAAAGATGTTTGCTTAGATGGAGGAAACATAGCTGCCACGTGGTAAAGCTAATTAATTAGAAGCGAGGCTTATGACGTCGTGAACCTCAACTTTTAAAACTCTTTAACACAGACAAGTTAGAATTGTGTTAGCAATAATAAATTCTGATTAAGTGGCTTAATATATACATTTTTCTCTTTTCGTATTCCAAGCAGGGGAAGAAGAGGTTTTTGATACCAGACTTTAGTTCTTGCTTTTCGAACCAAGGTAAATGTTTGTTGTGTCTTCTTCAATAGTGAGTACCACTGACTGAAGGGTGCGGAAAACCTTTAAAAAATTTGTGCACTTTTTGATATCTTATCAAACTTATGAAACTAGTTTCAGATTTGAGATGAAGGGTGAAATTTTCGTACTTTTGCTCTGATGCATTTCCGTGTACATGCATGGGCTGTTGACTCCTGATTTCTTGAACCTTCAGTCTCTAGAACCTTTTCATAATCTGAATAATACTGTCTGGTCAACGGACCAACTGGTGAGCTGGCCACTACGCCGTCAGATTACATTAACTGATTAAGCTGACAGACAGATGGTATAACTATCTGCTTGACTTTCTGCCTGACTGTCTGCCTGACTGTTTCCCTTGCTGTGGGCATGGCAATAAACTGATTCATTTTCTAGCTGCCTGCTGAGTCAGAAGCCTGAACCAGTTGACCGACTGACGGTTGGTTGATCAAGCAAACAAATTATTAATACACACGTTTTGCAATAAATAAATCAATGTGCTTTTACTCCTTCCATTACTAAAGAGACCGTAAGGACTGAAGAAGAGAATTCAAGAATTCAAGAAGAAATGGAATTCTAGTAATCATTATGTAGTGTCTGTGGAAGTATCTTAGTCAAAACAATCCTTTTTGTTTATTTTCCCTTCGATAAAATAATAACATAAGTTAGTTAGCTGAACTATGGATTGCATAACATGCTATTGAACATATTGGGCGCTATCTCTGAATGGGCGTGTGATGGCAGTTCTGTCTTCATTTCGGTTTGATCTTGTCTGTTTTCTTTTTAATGTTTATTTTTTGTTTGTTTATTTTTTGTTTGTTTATTTTATTTAATTTTTGTGTGTGTATGTGTGTTGACTTTGACAAGTTTAACTACCTGTTAGTGTTTTTCTTTTAGCATATTTCAAAATTGCATGTTTTAGCGATTAATAGCTCATTTCTAGGTTCTTTAATCTAAAAGAAACAAAGCATTTACTGTTTAACATCTCACATCGTTAATATTTAATAATATCCTGATGATCTAAATAGTTAATTTCATAAAACTTTTTTACTCGTTTACGAGAATTTTATTTAGTAAGAGTTACAGTAACGGTTATTTGGGGCTTCAGATTATATGAAAGAACTCAGAAAATTTTACGGCCTGGGCTTTAGTTCTGAGAGACTCTGCATGATCATAACAACTATATAAATACCCCAGTTCCACAGCTAAGTATCGATATCTTTTTTTTTTTTGTTTTTTTTTCTATTTCATCACTATCTCTTAAAGAAGAATAATTAAAAATGTAACAAAAGAATAGTTAACATTTTATTGGATGAGAAGTCATTAATCAGTTCTTTGGCAGTTTATTAAGTTACCCAAGTAGTAATCTAAATAGTTGATTTTTAGAATTTTTATAACTCCTTTTCGAGCATTACAATACAACCTAGATGTAAAGTGACGTTTTTTTTCGTGATTTTAGGACGTTTATCGCGAGTACAGATTTATCAAATAACTTATAAAAACGTTTAGGTATGCCAGGGAGTTTAGTGGTTCGATAAAAATTATAATTGTTTATTTTCACAACTCGCTTGTGAGAATTTTGCACCCAGACTACGCTTCAAAAAACAAAAAAAAAAATACAAGACATTGTTTATTAGAGGTTTTGAAGTTTATCAATAAGCTAGGTAGCCCATTTAATAGAATTTTCATAACTCCTTTGCGAGCGTTATAATCATTAGGACTTAAAGTGATGTCCATATAGATCATGCTTACATTACTGATAATTCACTCAAAATAAAAAAAGTAATGAAAAGGTCTAAGAATATCACTAAATTAGATATTTGGTAGTGAGTTGAAGTCTAATTTGTAGTTAATTTCTAGATTGTTTAACTCATTTTGAGAATTCTAATTCATTGTAGAACGTGATATTCAAATAACTTCGTGATTTGGCTCAAACGTGCTCATCAAACATGGCTTTTACAGTAAGGATAATTTGAACACGAACGTGCCTTCTAGAGGAACATGGTACAAAGCAAAGAGAATTGTAACAAGTGGAAAAGTTGTCAATAAGCGCGTCATGTTTATTGTAAGTCAGAGCCTTCAATAAAACACCTTTTAGACCTTATGCTTGATTCTGATGTCTATAAACCCAAGAAAAGTTGTAAAGTCTGGCTTGGGCTTCATCGGCAGCGTTGTTGATTAGTGACTGGTCATAATTGCCCTTTCTTCTCTCCAGAAACGAGGCATGAACTTATATCTTCAAATTGGCCAATGAGATACTGCAAATGCGACACAATGTCAGCGTCGAGGGGGGAGGGAGAGAGAGCGCTCAGGAAATATTAAGGTGATTTAGGAAGAGGACGGTAACGTCAGTTAACAACGGCGCGCTTAGCAAAAACAGCGGTAAGAAACTAGGTCGACAACTTCTCTCCGTTATGTTTTATAAATTAATTAGCAGTCGTTGCAACGACACGTCAGCATTATGTTTGTTCTTGAAAATGGAAACTTGGGCTCTTTAAAGATCGCCATCACAAGGACGACAACATGATCTTCTTTAAGAGTTATGCAACAAGCAACAACAAATAAAACCAATAAAATTGGTTGTCATTTTCCTTGCACAGCGTGAGCATAACTTTCTTGTCTTAGTTTTCATCGGCACTGATCTAAAATTTAAGACATAAAAAGTGCAAACCTGAGCTAATTCTGGAATTGTAGGCATCTGATTTCAATCCGCAGAACATTCATTCCTCACGGTGAAAACGATAATGACATCAAAAAACAAAGTAATAAAGTGGGTAAGCATCGTAATATATATAACTTTGATTGACTGGCTTAACTTCAACATGCAGGAAGTTTAATTCACGATCAAATTCAACAGTATTCCACTCTTATAATTCTCATGTAAGGTTAGAGGAATGTATGAAAGAAAAGCCACCGCATTTAGTCCTAAATTTAAAGCGAACTGAAATCTTGGATCGCCTGCTAACCAACGTATTTCCTACAAAAATGTAGCGGTAAATTCTCACAAATACACCGAACAAAATAGGGAAGGGGCCCTCATTATCCTGGAAATTAGTTTTGAAATCATTCCAAACAGTATTATCTCGTACACAAGAGCGCAATTTACATAATTCCTGGGCGTTTTGATCGCGATGGGAAAAGCAGCGAAATGACGTCCAGAACTTGTTGGGGAGAACGGCAACGCCAACAACGGAAGTCGAAATAGAGTTGTGTCCAGGCTATCCGTGCGCTCTCCCGTTCTGAAACGAAAACCCGTCCTCTTACTAAATCACACTATCGTATCGAACGTGGTCCTTATGGTGTCCTGTACTAAGTTTGACAAACTTCTCGTACAAATGAGATTCTTTTTATTTTCTTCCATCGTTCCAGTTGGGTTCGTTATGTCTCTAAGTAAGCTTTCCTCCTGGGGTCCTGCACCAGGAGCAGTTGGTGGGTTTGGTGGTGGGGGAGGTGGATCAGAGGATAATGGTGCATCAGGCAGAGGTGATGGGTACTCTGGGAGATGTGGTGGTACCCATGCGAAACAAGCCGGAGGTGGAGGAAGCTCGTACCGTAATGGCACAGATTTTTCTGGTTTGACCGGTGGGAACTCGAATGATTCCTTGTGTACCAACAAATAATTGTTTATGTTGTGATTGGAATATTTTTATCTATATCTTCATTTACCCTCTGATTTCAAATCTCGTTGATTTAAATCCTACTTCTACGGAGGAAAAATAAAACAGACGATCCCATTTCTCGATCGCCTTTAGGATTCTCGGAAAGAGATTACGAGAGTAATGAGAACTCTACTTTTTGAAATATTAACAGCACCATTATTTGGGTGAACAATACTGAGCTATAAATGTTATAATGAACGCCTTGAAATAGTCACTGATGTACTGCACGTTATAAGATATTCTGGAAAATTGGACCTGACCTGAAAACTGTATCTTATTTACTAAAGAAATCGAGGTTCTGTCCATCAAATATTCAAATATACCCTCGCAGTTTTATTTTCTCATAGTTTATTATCAACAGGTCATGAGATCATATCGATCAAAGAAATCTAGCCGTCATCTATCTGTACAAGATCTGCTGGTTGATCAATCACTCAGAAAATGTACTTATTTCTTGTTCTTAGTCATTATCTGATTATTGCAAACCTTGACACCGAAGAAATTTTAAGAAAGAAAAGGATTATTCTAAAATGTAAAGCGGAAACTAATCAAACACTTGTTTACAAACACACGGGAAAGTGAAACTAAACAATTAAAGTGCGCGATGTGTCTTCCTTTGTAATCTCTCTCTCGGTAAATGAAGAGGTAAAATGTAGTGAAAAAAGTTACCTACCCGTTACTTGATCCCCAGAACAAAGTTTTAAACAGTTCCCACTGGTAAGGGCGCTATCACATCGCTTGGATAGAAAACAAGGTATGAACAAGATATGTAATTTTGCAAGTTGGTTATTTTGAAAGTTTATTTTGAAAATAATAAAGCTTTAGGCGCATTTTGCAGCAAATTTGACTGGTGATACCTGTTGTTACGCTGTTTAAACATGGAATAGTTCTTAATAATATTTCTATTTCAGAGGGCCTTTCGAGTTTTCCAAATTCATGGTACTGACTTTAAGAACCATAAGGGAAGTCAAGGTTTAAGCACTTTTTTTTCTCTTATGAAAAATGTAATATACATTACTGATCTTACGTACCAGTCAGAGGAAGTAATGGCGACTTGTGTTATTAAAAATTAACAATGTACCTTACTTTCTCGATATGAACATTTTCTTTTCTTAACAAGAAACCCACCTAAATTTCAATAACGTTATATTTCGTATTTATTGTATCGGGAAAATATGTCTCGAATCTCTCTCGCTTTAACTCATTCAGAAGAAATTTAATGATTAGTGGGTTATACACAACTTCTTTGAAAGAGATAAAAATGTATGATAAAGAGAGAAGCTGTAGCATCTGAACGCTAAGATGCTTGCAGAATGTACCTTATGTCAAAAATTCTCTAAAACAGAAAATAATCTGATTATGCTTTGCTAAGTTAGGGATTCGCCGTCCAAGAGTATGCATATCTATTTTCAATGAAAAGAAAGCATCCTACCTCGACAATTATAATGGATTTTGCAACACACACACGGGAATAAACTGAACGATAAACGAATAAGTCGTTAGTATACCTCAGCTGGCTCAACAACAAACAGAGCTGCATCTTAAGTATTAGTTTGCTTCTTTGCTTTATTTGATTATATTTTTTCTCCTTTTTATACATTAGTTCTCAGAGAACGATTCAGAGCATAATAAAAAAAAATATATATATCATTTCTTCGCTTGTGATTGGTTCGAAAAACTCCTATTTTCCACTAATTCGATTGCCAAGTTGTTATCAGAGAGTTTGTTATCTGACAAATTAATGAGCCGATCACATTCAAAGTTGTAGTTTAAACCAATCAATCAATCAATCAAAACCTTGGTTTCAATCACCATAACAACAGTGTACAGACTTTCTTCAAAATGGATAATTTTTTCCCATGAACAGTGGCAATAGTTTAGAGCACAGTAGTGAGGTTAGTATCAGTCTATTAAATGCAAATTTTCCCTTTCTCTCGTAACTTGACTATACTTTAACCTAATAAAAATGGTTAAACTCACCTCCTTACTCTTGGTTCAATATAAGTAATTCAAAAAGTCAAAATAACACTAATAGGTTCTATTCAAAAACGTTAGCAGATAGTCAATC